ATGAAAAATACACACATAAACGACATATGTTATGTTTTTAGAAACAAAATTGTAAATTTGATCAATCTAGTGAGTTAAGTTTAACCAACTTATAATTTTCTATCAAAAACTTTAACGGCCTTATTAATTTGATCAAATTAACAAAATTTAAAAGTAAGAGTAAAAAATTAAGCTAATTATAAGTATGAGAACTAAAATGACACCAAAATATTTACATATATATATATATATTGGCCTAAACATTTTTCACCATTTCAAATGTGAAAAATATCGATAAGTTTAAGAAGCCTCCCCACTTCACACAAAAAGTTACCAAATTCTAGCAGCCACCCCCTCAAGATGGAGACAACTTTTATTTAAAAGAAAATAATAATAATAATAATAATAATAATAATAATAATAATAATAATAATAATAACAATGCCCTAATTTACTACAATTAATACAACTAAAGGTTGCCGTCAATTGCAACAATGAGTTATCACCGGTGCCGTTGGATAGATTTTGCAATGAATATGTAGGCATCAGATTAAGAATTCACAAAATTGGAATTAATTGATACATCTTAAGTTTTTAATTGTAGAAAAATTAATCACAAAACTAGATTCACTATTTTGATATAAGTGTGAGATTCACAAAAAAAAAATAAGACTCATCTCATGTGAGAGTATTAGGGATGATTATTCAGTATTTTCAGAATATTGACACATGGTACTCTATAAGATTTTAATTGGTAGAAAAGGGTAAGGATCCACGATTTATGTTGGGAATAGGAGGAATAATATGGAGACTAAATAATTGATAATTGCTTAAAATATAGTCATGTAATGTTCCGAAATTATTAAATAATTTCCTGAGTATTGGATCGGATATTGTGATGTTCTCTTAAAATGTTTTTAGAACAAAGGGCAGCTACAACTCTAATAAGTTGCAAAGCTGTGAAAAAGACAAAAAGAAAAAAGAAAAAAATACAAAAAGAATAAATTCATCTTTATATGTCAACATTTTTTTAAGATCTTTCTCACGACTAAAAAATCAATGAACTTGTACCAAGGCGCATGATTCAATCTATATGGTTTAGTTTATAAATTTTTTTTTTTTAAAAGTCAAAAAATAAATCTAAACCCTCAACCAAATATAATTATATATATTGAAACCTGTATTTAGAGAGTTTTTTTTTTTTTTTTTTTTTTTTTTTTTTTGATTCAATCCAAAAAGTTAAAGTTATATTTTGAGGGGCAAATTATAAATATATTTTTTGAAATTTGTTTAAAATATAAATTACCTCTTGTAATTTAAAAAATTACAAATACTTGTCTGTCAAAATTTTTTATTTAACAGAATTAATTGAAAAGTAAAATTTCTAACTGTTCACCTATATAATAATAAAATTATTTGAATTATTAATTGAAATAAAATTTTAACATTATTAAAAACTGTTAATTAACTTGATGATTTATTAATAAAATGACATATTTGTTATGAAATTATAAATTTTATAAGAAATAATGTAATTTCTAGAAGCACAAAAAATAATTTGTAATAAAAATAAATCTTATGAGGTGTATTTATAATTTATCCTATTCTGAAATTAAAATAATAAAAAAAAGCCATACCTTAGAAAATCAATCTGACGGCACTGGTGATAACTCCTCATCGCAATTGACGCAATCACAGTAATTTAGGTGATTTTAGACAGATTGACCGATTGAAGAATATTTTAACCAATTATTAAGTATTTACATAATATATAACATTAATTTGTATAATATTTTTTAGAGAGATTTATTAGAAGATCATTTTTTAAGTGTTTGTATCTCAATTAATCCATAAGATATTCTTGTATTTCAATAAGTCTTATTATTTGGACATTTGATCTACCAAATCCTAATTCTCATATTTACGGTATTTTATGGACATTTCTACCCCTACAAATATTTTTTGAACGGTTAGCAATTTGGTAATGTGAACATTCATATTTTACAATGTGAATATTCACACTGATAATGTGAACATTCATATCACAGAACATTCACACTATAAATGTGAATATTATTATGAGTATTTTGGTAACTATGTTACTCATAGGATTTATTGGAATATAAAAATAATAATGTAGACTAAATGGAATATAAGTAGGTGAAAAGGGATTTATGAAAGTGCTCCTATTTTATATATATATAATACAAACTAATTTTACATAATATATTTCATATATATAACTATTAATTTGTAATAAATTTCATATCTTAAATATCTCACACTCATTTTTACTTTAATATTTCATTGGAGATTAAAAAATATAGAGTTAATTACCTAAAAGTCATATTTACAAATGTTATGTAGCTCAAGTCCTATTAAGATTTTTTGAACTAATAAGTCATATTTAGTATAACTGAGAATATTATCAATTTTTTTCAATTTTTAAAACTAAAAACATTGTCAATTTTACATAGTAATGTTCCAAATAATTGTTTCACTAACTGAGAAAAAAAAACAATGCATGAGATTAAACGTTTTTGTCTTTCTACTTATTGGTTTAATTCAACTATCCAATAAAATTGAGAACATTAGCTTGTTTGGTTTCGTTTTTCTGAAAACAGTTTTCAGAAAATTCTACTTTCTTATTTTTCGTATTTTTTTGTTTTTAATGATTTTTTTTAATATTTTAAGCAATTTTTAAAATTTTTAGATATACCTAACATAAATATACCTAAAAAGTAAAAAAAATATGAAAAAAACCTTTTAAAAATTACTAAATACCAAAAATATAAAAAAATAAGAGAATTCAGTATATTTTTTGTTTTTTTATGTATTTAATAATTTTTTAAAATATTTTTTCACAAAGTTTTTACTTTTTAGATACATCTAAGTAAGGTGCATATAAAAAACTAAAAAAAATGTTTAAAATTTTAAAAATTTAAAAATATTCACTAAAAACAAAAAAACACAAAAAAAAAAAAAACTTAGTTCTGAAAAAATTTAATCCAGAAAACTCAAACCAAACACACTTGTTTTTTTCAATTTTAAAACTGAGCACATTATCAGTATTTTTTTCCCCAGTTTTGCACATTAATGTTCCACCACTACACTCCTTTCCTACACACAAAATTTTTAATTTTGCACAATTTTTTTTTAATTTTTTCAAAAAAAAAATTCACATGATTTTTTAAAAGTTTTTGTCAATTTGAAAGTTGATTTTTTAAAGTCTTAGAAATCAAAATAAATGTCAAATTATCATATTCCTTTATAAATAATCATAAATGATAAACAGTCATTATTTGAAGGGCAATTCTCACTATTAAAAATTTAATAGAACTTGAAGATCCAAAAAATCTATTGAGTATAAGTTCATAAATTAGGGCTTGTGTGTAAATGTCCTAACAATATATATGTATTAACTATAGCAGAGCGGAGCAACTTTGAATGCGAATTATAAATTTTAAAGTTTAATCAGCGATTAGAAGATAGATCGGTATGAATTAATATGAATCGATATAATTTTAATGAATTAAACAATATTTTACACAACTCTAATTGTAGTAAACTAAGGCTTTGTTACAAATTATTGTTAGAAAAATGTTTGGAAGCTCTAAATTGGGAGCACTAAATGAGCTCTAGAGAGTGGGTTCCACTGACTGATGTGATGTTTTGACCTTAAGTTTTTTTTTTCCTTTTTTTTTTTTAATTTTTACGTCATTAATAGTCTATTAATGCTTCCAAATTAGTAGAATGTATCATTGTTGTTATTGTTATTATTGTTTATTTTTTAAATAAAAGTGGTCCCCATACTGAGGAGATGGCTGCCAAGTTACAGTTGGATAAGGGTCAGAGGTTAGTTTGATAATATTTTGGGTAAGCTGGAAGAGTTGAGATCATCTCATTGAACTCTCTATTTATCTCACTACTTACAACGGTAAAAATATATCGGGGTTGATTCAACAATTCAGATTTAGCTATTTAAAATATATATTATAAAAAATAAATTCAAATTTACTTTTTTTGTCCAAATCTAAACCATTAAATCAACTCACGATGCATTTCTACCGTTGCAAGTAGAGAGACAAAGAAAGAACTGAAGGAGAGAATCTCAACTCTTAGAAAGCTCTTCAAACTTATTGGAAAAATATATTTCATCCAAATATTTTTTTTTTTTGACTTTACATTTTTTGTTACACTAAACACCAAAAATTATAGAAAATAATTTATAAAAACATGCTTCACTAAAACAAACAGAGCACAACATTCAAATATAATCATCAATTAATTGTAAAATAAGATAGAGAGAAAATAGATAATATCATTTATCAAGGGTCCGTTACAGTCCTATAAAAATATAAGATAAAATGATTTTAAAGCTATTTTCTCCAATAAAAGGAATAAGGAGAGTATTTTTGAGCAATGATTAAAGCGTGCCAAATATTTACATCAGCCAACAGGACATGTGCATGATGAAGAAAATTGGGCAATCACATGATTCAAAACAACTCCAAAACGAAACATCTAAGAAGCTTCTCAAATATTTGGAACCTCTCCTCCTAGCGCACACACCATTTTAAGACCAAAAAATATAACCGATGATAGAATCATATACAATTTTTTATATGTAAGGTATGTTCCATCCTATATGAAAAGTTGTATGCTTCCTTCTGAAGTTTGAGATTCAAAATCTTTAAGTGTAAATAATTTTTTGAGATCTGTCTATACAGAATTTGTCCCAACTTAAACGAGTTCCTCGTTAGTAGACGGTGATATTAGTCACCATCCAAATTAGTCAGTCTATTAAACAGAATATCACATTATAAAAAAAAAATAAAATGTTAATTAATTTATGTGTTCTTACAAGACATTGATCCTATTTTGTTGGGTTTCCAACTTTGTCCTATTAAATGAGAGAATCGGCCAGGAAAGTTCGTCAGTCCTAAAGGACAATTGTCTGTAAATTTGAATGAAAGCACGACCACATTTTGGGAATTTTCTCATCTATAAGAGAGTTACACTACTAGATTCATTCATGTTACACACACACACACACACACAAAAAGAAAAAACAGAGAGAAGTTGTGAAATAAAAAAGGTGCAAAAATGGTGATAGAGGAGGAATTAATAAGCAGCTGTGAGAGTGAGTGTGAGGGTGAAGAAGGTGGTGAGCCACTGCCTCTTCTATCACTGAACCATGTATCTTTGTTAGTGAGATCGGTGTGGACTTCTGTGCGCTTCTATGAAGATGTGTTGGGCTTTTTCCTCATCAAACGCCCCTCTTCCTTTAATTTCCATGGAGCTTGGTCACCACCACCTCTCTCTCTCTCTCTCTCTCTTTTGTCCTTTCTTTTTCTTTTAAATTATTAGTCGAGATGCACATAAATTAGTTTATTTACTTAATTATAAATAAATAAAGAAACTATTTTGTCTGCATTTAATTTGTAAGCACGATTTGATGGAAATTATTCTAGGATTAATTTCGGATAAGTTGTCCCATTATTTTTCTGAAATAAAATGAACCTACATATGAAGGGGGAAATCCCCTCAAAATTAAGTTAGTTATTCTGAATAAAATATGAACCAAGGGCTGGATTATTTTATCTTGAATGTATTTAATCTAATCTTACTTTCTTATTTGCCAATCAAACACAATCTCAATATATAATTTTGTTTAGGCACGGAATCCTAAGTTTCCAAATTCTTTTATTTTTCTATCACAATCCATTCTCGTCTTTGAGATTTTCATATGATTTTATGACCGAAATGTATTAAGACAAAGAATAATAGCGACTTTATTCAAACACATTTTTTATTAATAGATAATTCTCTATAAAAATGAGTGAATCAAGTGGTCTTGTATGGTATATTCATTTCAAAAATTAAAACACAACTATAATCCTGACTCATCGCTCTCACATAATTTGAGATGAGTTTTTCTTTTTTTCTTTTTTTTTTTCTTTCCAACAATGAAATTATTGAATTAAAAAATTGTATTTGGGAATCATTCTTCAAGAGAAAAACTCAATTCATTATTTTGTTCTTTAGTTGTTCATCTAAGCGACCAAAACAGAGCTTCTCTTTTTCTTCATACATATTAAATTATCAATCACTATTTATCAAGCTACTAACCACCTTGTATGATTTTTTTTCTTTCCCTTCAGGTTATTCAATTATGGAATTGGGATACACTTGCTTGAAAATGAGTCCATTGATGAGTACAACACCATGAATGAACCACGACCCATCAATCCCAAGGATAACCACATATCCTTTCAAGTAAGAACTACTATGGCGCTGTTTGGGAAGTGATTTGGCCGGCTATTATAGCCTAAAAAATTTTTTTAGCCAAAAAGCCATTTTGCAAGTTTTTTCAAAAAAAAAAAAAAAAAAAAAAAGGGCCCCTCATTGCGCAGTTTGTGCGCACTACTTCCATTTTGCTTGCATTTTATCGCGCTATCTTGCGCACCTCGTTGCGCAGTTTTGTGCACTCCACTCGCATTTTGCATGCATTTTATCGTGCTATCTTGCGCACCTCATTGCGCAGTTTGTGCGCACTACTTCCATTTTGCTTGCATTTTATCGCGCTATCTTGCGCACCTCGTTGCGCAGTTTTGTGCACTCCACTCGCATTTTGCATGCATTTTATCGTGCTATCTTGCGCACCTCATTGCGCAGTTTGTGCGCACTACTTCCATTTTGCTTGCATTTTATCGCGCTATCTTGCGCACCTCGTTGCGCAGTTTTGTGCACTCCACTCGCATTTTGCATGCATTTTATCGTGCTATCTTGCGCACCTCATTGCGCAGTTTGTGCGCACTACTTCCATTTTGCTTGCATTTTATCGCGCTATCTTGCGCACCTCGTTGCGCAGTTTTGTGCACTCCACTCGCATTTTGCATGCATTTTATCGTGCTATCTTGCGCACCTCATTGCGCAGTTTGTGCGCACTACTTCCATTTTGCTTGCATTTTATCGCGCTATCTTGCGCACCTCGTTGCGCAGTTTTGTGCACTCCACTCGCATTTTGCATGCATTTTATCGTGCTATCTTGCGCACCTCATTGCGCAGTTTGTGCGCACTACTTCCATTTTGCTTGCATTTTATCGCGCTATCTTGCGCACCTCGTTGCGCAGTTTTGTGCACTCCACTCGCATTTTGCATGCATTTTATCGTGCTATCTTGCGCACCTCATTGCGCAGTTTGTGCGCACTACTTCCATTTTGCTTGCATTTTATCGCGCTATCTTGCGCACCTCGTTGCGCAGTTTTGTGCACTCCACTCGCATTTTGCATGCATTTTATCGTGCTATCTTGCGCACCTCATTGCGCAGTTTGTGCGCACTACTTCCATTTTGCTTGCATTTTATCGCGCTATCTTGCGCACCTCGTTGCGCAGTTTTGTGCACTCCACTCGCATTTTGCATGCATTTTATCGTGCTATCTTGCGCACCTCATTGCGCAGTTTGTGCGCACTACTTCCATTTTGCTTGCATTTTATCGCGCTATCTTGCGCACCTCGTTGCGCAGTTTTGTGCACTCCACTCGCATTTTGCATGCATTTTATCGTGCTATCTTGCGCACCTCATTGCGCAGTTTGTGCGCACTACTTCCATTTTGCTTGCATTTTATCGCGCTATCTTGCGCACCTCGTTGCGCAGTTTTGTGCACTCCACTCGCATTTTGCATGCATTTTATCGTGCTATCTTGCGCACCTCATTGCGCAGTTTGTGCGCACTACTTCCATTTTGCTTGCATTTTATCGCGCTATCTTGCGCACCTCGTTGCGCAGTTTTGTGCACTCCACTCGCATTTTGCATGCATTTTATCGTGCTATCTTGCGCACCTCATTGCGCAGTTTGTGCGCACTACTTCCATTTTGCTTGCATTTTATCGCGCTATCTTGCGCACCTCGTTGCGCAGTTTTGTGCACTCCACTCGCATTTTGCATGCATTTTATCGTGCTATCTTGCGCACCTCATTGCGCAGTTTGTGCGCACTACTTCCATTTTGCTTGCATTTTATCGCGCTATCTTGCGCACCTCGTTGCGCAGTTTTGTGCACTCCACTCGCATTTTGCATGCATTTTATCGTGCTATCTTGCGCACCTCATTGCGCAGTTTGTGCGCACTACTTCCATTTTGCTTGCATTTTATCGCGCTATCTTGCGCACCTCGTTGCGCAGTTTTGTGCACTCCACTCGCATTTTGCATGCATTTTATCGTGCTATCTTGCGCACCTCATTGCGCAGTTTGTGCGCACTACTTCCATTTTGCTTGCATTTTATCGCGCTATCTTGCGCACCTCGTTGCGCAGTTTTGTGCACTCCACTCGCATTTTGCATGCATTTTATCGTGCTATCTTGCGCACCTCATTGCGCAGTTTGTGCGCACTACTTCCATTTTGCTTGCATTTTATCGCGCTATCTTGCGCACCTCGTTGCGCAGTTTTGTGCACTCCACTCGCATTTTGCATGCATTTTATCGTGCTATCTTGCGCACCTCATTGCGCAGTTTGTGCGCACTACTTCCATTTTGCTTGCATTTTATCGCGCTATCTTGCGCACCTCGTTGCGCAGTTTTGTGCACTCCACTCGCATTTTGCATGCATTTTATCGTGCTATCTTGCGCACCTCATTGCGCAGTTTGTGCGCACTACTTCCATTTTGCTTGCATTTTATCGCGCTATCTTGCGCACCTCGTTGCGCAGTTTTGTGCACTCCACTCGCATTTTGCATGCATTTTATCGTGCTATCTTGCGCACCTCATTGCGCAGTTTGTGCGCACTACTTCCATTTTGCTTGCATTTTATCGCGCTATCTTGCGCACCTCGTTGCGCAGTTTTGTGCACTCCACTCGCATTTTGCATGCATTTTATCGTGCTATCTTGCGCACCTCATTGCGCAGTTTGTGCGCACTACTTCCATTTTGCTTGCATTTTATCGCGCTATCTTGCGCACCTCGTTGCGCAGTTTTGTGCACTCCACTCGCATTTTGCATGCATTTTATCGTGCTATCTTGCGCACCTCATTGCGCAGTTTGTGCGCACTACTTCCATTTTGCTTGCATTTTATCGCGCTATCTTGCGCACCTCGTTGCGCAGTTTTGTGCACTCCACTCGCATTTTGCATGCATTTTATCGTGCTATCTTGCGCACCTCATTGCGCAGTTTGTGCGCACTACTTCCATTTTGCTTGCATTTTATCGCGCTATCTTGCGCACCTCGTTGCGCAGTTTTGTGCACTCCACTCGCATTTTGCATGCATTTTATCGTGCTATCTTGCGCACCTCATTGCGCAGTTTGTGCGCACTACTTCCATTTTGCTTGCATTTTATCGCGCTATCTTGCGCACCTCGTTGCGCAGTTTTGTGCACTCCACTCGCATTTTGCATGCATTTTATCGTGCTATCTTGCGCACCTCATTGCGCAGTTTGTGCGCACTACTTCCATTTTGCTTGCATTTTATCGCGCTATCTTGCGCACCTCGTTGCGCAGTTTTGTGCACTCCACTCGCATTTTGCATGCATTTTATCGTGCTATCTTGCGCACCTCATTGCGCAGTTTGTGCGCACTACTTCCATTTTGCTTGCATTTTATCGCGCTATCTTGCGCACCTCGTTGCGCAGTTTTGTGCACTCCACTCGCATTTTGCATGCATTTTATCGTGCTATCTTGCGCACCTCATTGCGCAGTTTGTGCGCACTACTTCCATTTTGCTTGCATTTTATCGCGCTATCTTGCGCACCTCGTTGCGCAGTTTTGTGCACTCCACTCGCATTTTGCATGCATTTTATCGTGCTATCTTGCGCACCTCATTGCGCAGTTTGTGCGCACTACTTCCATTTTGCTTGCATTTTATCGCGCTATCTTGCGCACCTCGTTGCGCAGTTTTGTGCACTCCACTCGCATTTTGCATGCATTTTATCGTGCTATCTTGCGCACCTCATTGCGCAGTTTGTGCGCACTACTTCCATTTTGCTTGCATTTTATCGCGCTATCTTGCGCACCTCGTTGCGCAGTTTTGTGCACTCCACTCGCATTTTGCATGCATTTTATCGTGCTATCTTGCGCACCTCATTGCGCAGTTTGTGCGCACTACTTCCATTTTGCTTGCATTTTATCGCGCTATCTTGCGCACCTCGTTGCGCAGTTTTGTGCACTCCACTCGCATTTTGCATGCATTTTATCGTGCTATCTTGCGCACCTCATTGCGCAGTTTGTGCGCACTACTTCCATTTTGCTTGCATTTTATCGCGCTATCTTGCGCACCTCGTTGCGCAGTTTTGTGCACTCCACTCGCATTTTGCATGCATTTTATCGTGCTATCTTGCGCACCTCATTGCGCAGTTTGTGCGCACTACTTCCATTTTGCTTGCATTTTATCGCGCTATCTTGCGCACCTCGTTGCGCAGTTTTGTGCACTCCACTCGCATTTTGCATGCATTTTATCGTGCTATCTTGCGCACCTCATTGCGCAGTTTGTGCGCACTACTTCCATTTTGCTTGCATTTTATCGCGCTATCTTGCGCACCTCGTTGCGCAGTTTTGTGCACTCCACTCGCATTTTGCATGCATTTTATCGTGCTATCTTGCGCACCTCATTGCGCAGTTTGTGCGCACTACTTCCATTTTGCTTGCATTTTATCGCGCTATCTTGCGCACCTCGTTGCGCAGTTTTGTGCACTCCACTCGCATTTTGCATGCATTTTATCGTGCTATCTTGCGCACCTCATTGCGCAGTTTGTGCGCACTACTTCCATTTTGCTTGCATTTTATCGCGCTATCTTGCGCACCTCGTTGCGCAGTTTTGTGCACTCCACTCGCATTTTGCATGCATTTTATCGTGCTATCTTGCGCACCTCATTGCGCAGTTTGTGCGCACTACTTCCATTTTGCTTGCATTTTATCGCGCTATCTTGCGCACCTCGTTGCGCAGTTTTGTGCACTCCACTCGCATTTTGCATGCATTTTATCGTGCTATCTTGCGCACCTCATTGCGCAGTTTGTGCGCACTACTTCCATTTTGCTTGCATTTTATCGCGCTATCTTGCGCACCTCGTTGCGCAGTTTTGTGCACTCCACTCGCATTTTGCATGCATTTTATCGTGCTATCTTGCGCACCTCATTGCGCAGTTTGTGCGCACTACTTCCATTTTGCTTGCATTTTATCGCGCTATCTTGCGCACCTCGTTGCGCAGTTTTGTGCACTCCACTCGCATTTTGCATGCATTTTATCGTGCTATCTTGCGCACCTCATTGCGCAGTTTGTGCGCACTACTTCCATTTTGCTTGCATTTTATCGCGCTATCTTGCGCACCTCGTTGCGCAGTTTTGTGCACTCCACTCGCATTTTGCATGCATTTTATCGTGCTATCTTGCGCACCTCATTGCGCAGTTTG